TCGAAAGCTATTGACATGTTTAATAATGATAATTACGTTTATCAATGTTGAAATTCTCTACATATTGTAACCAAAGACACAATGCAATATTTTATCAGTCTGAACAATGAAACTCTCATTATATATTTCATTGTTTCGACCTTTCGCTTTTGTCGGCGAGTGCGGTTTAAAACCGACGCAGCTATACCGTTGCCGACATTTCGCTCTAATTGCAGACGAATTAATGTCGCCGGATGAACGAGCCTCGCCGAGCGTTGATTGGTATGCTCAGCACATATCCGGCTTAATATCGTAACGACGACTGTCGGCATGCAGTAAAGCGACGCGGGTAAAGAGAGAAATTGATTCGATAAATATAATTAGAGCGAAAATTCGCCTCTCTTCTCCTTTCTCTCTCTCTCTCTCTCTCTCTCTCTCTCTCTCTCTTTCTCTTTTGTATCGAAAATTTGATTAAAATAAATTCCGTACGCGCGAACGAGACTCTTCGCTCAATTTTTAAACTCGCGCGAAACCGACGAAACATATCAACGTACATATTCGTGCTTCCATGTTTTTATTGTTTCTATTTATTTTACTGTGTGTTATTTTTGTACGATATTTATTCGAGTATGCGAAATAAAAACACGCGCACGTTAAATTTTCCGGAGTTTTAAATTTATTAAAAAACAAAGTCTTTACTTTTGAATTTATTAAAAAAAAAGCTTTTATATTGTTCGAATGGGCGCGATGGGTGCAACGAGCAATAAATTTTTCTCGACTTTCTAATATCGCGAATTAGCTGTGAACGTGCGCGCTCGCGTTATATATTTATTATTCATGCAAGCTGTTTGCCGCGGGATTTTTCAAAGGAACGTCGCGCCAACACGCGACGACAATGCATTATTCCGTGAGCGCAAACACGTCCGATTCTTTTTACGAATTCATAGTATTCGCGAAACGAACGGAGATCTGATGTCGGCTCATATTAAATTCTCTTCCGTGTCGTTTGTTTGTCGGGGAAAAAAGTTGGACCGTGTCGCTCGGCCGGTGCGACGCAGTCGCGGGCGAGCTTTAAAAGGTAGCCGTGACGTCACGGAAACGACAGAGATCAGAGAAAGAGGACGAAGGGATGAATAAATTACGAGGGCGCTGACACGCTGCCGGTGAGATGAGTGGGCGAATGGCAGCTTGAACTATTTTTGAACGCATGCAGTCTTTCGGCTGAATGGCGAGTGTTTGCCCTGATTTTTTTTTTCAACCCACTTGATTGCCCAATATACTTTTTAATCGCTATCATTCCTTGTTATCGCGTAGTCTTTTGAAAAGGTAAAACGAATAAAACTACAGTATACGAAACTATCGAGTTCTGTTCGATTAAGTGCGAATCCAAAGAAATGTCACGTTGTTTTTCGTTGTAATTTAATTTACTAAAATGCATTAACATTCTCGAGCGGAAGTAAAAATTCGTATTCAATTCGCGCGTTGACAAACTGATCACACGCGTCATTACATATGTTGTCGTCAACGTCTCGGCGTGAATTCGTTTCAAGATGTACATACAACGTAATATTTTCAATTATTTTCGTGCATTTTAATTAATATTTTTTAATTGTCGTTTTTCAGGACAAATTTTACACTCGTCATTTATTAAATGCATTGTTTAATTAAACATTGATCGAGTTGTTTTTTTTTCATTATCTGTGTTTGATTGAAAGAGATACGAAAATGGTTGGCGGGGGAAGATTCACACGTTCACACAACTGTCGTTTGTGTGCGCGAAAAACGCGCGGCGCCAGAAACATGCGACGTCGCGGCGCCGTTCTTGTTTTCCCGCAGTGTTTATCCGGAAATCCAGTCGGGCTTCGCTCTCGTCTTATCACTGCGAGCGAGACTACTTTATGGATCATTCTGTTACAGCGGTTACAGTGATATTGCGAACGCCACGCTGGAAATGTAGAAAATTTTCCGTTACAATAACGTTCGTTATTTTATTCGGAGACCGATTTAATATTTTGATAAATAATATATACAAGTTTATTAAAAAACGTTAATCTCTTTTTACGTAAGCGAAACAACGGCTCGTTTTATTGTTGAATAAATAATGTATCAAATTATTGCACGACGGACTTCATCTCGTAACGACGATAGATTTATACTTCGTTCGGGTTGATTTGCTACTGGTATAAATTCCGGTCACGGATAAATAGCCTAAAGTTTGCATTAATGCGTGCGCGTGTTGCAGCACGTATTGCGCACGAGCATTTCCTGACCATCGTGCTAAATCACGAGTAATGTGGTCGTCGTGACTCACCCAGGAAACGTTATCCAGGAAGCGTTCTGTGTCCTGAAACGCAGTTTGTTGCGCTGTCACACGTACCGGCGATCCTCAAATGCGGGTTGTTAATCCGCGCAAATCTGATTCCCGCGTATCGTCGATTACGGTTACGTACTGCTTTGTTTCTAATAGCAGTTTGTACGAAAACTCGTTTACTTAAGAATTTCGAAGGTCGTGAGGAGCAAATAGAATAAGAAAGAGAAAGAGAGAAGTAAGAGAAAAAGAGAAGGAGAGAGACAGAGAGAGAGAGAGAGAGAGAGAGAGAGAGAGAGGAGAGCGTCTCCGCGTGCAAACTTCGTCGCATCGCACCGTCGTTGGCATAATAATTTTCTCATATTCATATTCATAAGTACTGCATGCATATTCACAATAAATTTCCCAGCGGGAATCGCTGTACTGGAAAGTGTAAATTATTTCGTGGCAAATTGAAAGCTGTCTACGTGAATGTGTGCTGTGCGAATGCGACTTGGTCGTTGCAGGTTTGTCGGTGTACGCCGAGTCGTTCTTACACAAACTGTTTAAGTTTGGTCTGATGAGAAATTGTCAATTCCAGCTTTTCGCGTACGGACCGGACCGCGTTTGCGGATTACACGAAAGCGCGAAGTGTGACAGATTGTGCTGATTAAAGTTACGCTAATTATCTTATCGCGCTTAATTCAGTTTTTAATGCCGCAAATATAATATCAAATATATGCGCAACGAAATTAAGTTACAAAAATATGAACGTCACAATTGTGTTTTCGCAAAGAATTCTAAATTTTTTTTTCATATTCTCGCTCTAAAAAGTGCCACGACAATCTCTCGCTAGTGTACTATTTTCTGGATTAATGGAGCTTTCGCTGTTTGTTTTGTGTCTTGTGCGCATTCGTTCCATTTTCAAAAACGAATGATGCGATAAATTTCGTTACATGCCGGGTGACATGAATCTCCGAGAAATCTCTGTTCTGATATACGTATCGCTGAATCTTGCCAGCGCTAAAGCAGATCCCTTTGCGAGAGACCGATCCGCATTAAAGCCCGTAACGTATCGGACGACTTTCTCTAAATAACTCGATTTTCCGTTCGACTAACGCGGTATAGAGAGTCTGTACGACGATCGATTGTATTCGTCGAGAAAAATCGATTTCAATCGTGCTTTGCATATGAAAATTATTTTTTTTACAGCGGCAAAACGAAAATACCGTCTTTGTCATTTTCATTTAAAATTTTCTGTTTTTCTATAATTACGTACGGAAAATTTACCTAATGAATTTTTATTTATGTTTTTTATTTAATTTTTTTCACGATTTTTTATATCACATATGATTCTTCAATCATTCATGACACGGTAAGATCCAAAAGTTCTTGGCCTAAAACAGAAGATTTTTTTTGAGTATAAAAAAGACTGTTATTCTTCTAAACAATGTTTTATCCTAATACGTTTACAATAATGTATAGGAATTAAATACAATTTATTTGTTAATACAAGATAGCACAGTGTCGCGTTACGTGTTGTGTTGAACATTCGTTTTGTCATTGTCAGACAACATGTCGGTTTCGAGATAGATTCACGAGAACGTCCGAAAGCATACATACATCGCTGTCGAAAATTCCGACCCGAATCGTAAGTTGGTTTTCGCAATAGATCCCAAAATAAAAAAGTCGAGCCTGTTTTCCGACGCTCGTCGGAGACATATCGTCCGTCTTTCTCTCACTCGCCTAGCTTTGTCGGCTGTCTCGTCGTTAGTCTCTGTCGTTCCTGCTGACCAGATCACTACTACTACTACTACTACTACTACTACTACTACTACTACTACTACTTGCTTCGTTCATTCGCTGTCGAAGCTTCTCTCCTCGGCAGAACGGCGAATCGGGTCCAGCGTCCATTTCTTGCCGCGGGGGTAGTCAGAGGGTACGAAATTTTCCAAGACAGTGCGCTTGTCCGCGAGAGAGACAGAATAAACGCGGCTGGGAGAGACAAGGCAGATCGAAGAGAGAAGAGAGGGTAGCGGGAGTGAAATGACGCGAGTTGAAGTAGGAGAAGGCGAAAGCGGTGGTCCGGAATCGCGAGCAAGAGAGAAAGAGAGAGAAAGAGAGAGACGGGATGTGAATGAGATAACTGAGATACAGTGGATTGAGAAAGAAACAGGAAGTATGCTGCTATCGGTTTGTCGCAGAGCAAGAAGGGAAGAGAGAAAAGATAAGAAAAAAAGAAAGAGGAGACTATATCTACTCCGAAGAAAGGAAACATTAGTGCGGAATGCAAAAGAGAAGGACGCGTGGAAACACAAAAGAAAGGGGTAGTCACATCGGAGCAACGAAGACAATCATAGGAGTGTGTGTGTGTGTGTGTGTGTAACAAAAGGAGACAGAGAATATAAGGGAGAAACTACGCGGAAAGCTTCCCGAATCGGATGAACGAAGAACGCATCGTTCCGACGAGTGCGAGAAAGACAAAAAGCCGCGAGAAGTTAGGGGGATGAATTCGCAGCTGAACGAGAGAAAGAGGAAGAAAGAGAGAAGGATAAAGGAACAGAGTGAGAGAACGGGATGAAGAGTGACGGAGAGAGAGCCTCGTGGACAAAAGAGGATGCGCTACCTCGCGAACGATGAGGGGGGAAAAAGCTCGTAGTGGGGGAGCCAGCTGCCACCGCACAGCTACACCCTCGGCGACGATCAAGGCGGACCCTCAGTCGTTCGCGCACCCTCGAACGGCGGGGCTGATCGAGCTCCGGTGGTGAACAATATTCTCGTTTCTGTCATCGTTGCGAGCGCCGGTCTGCAGCAGCAGCAGCAGCAGCAGCAGCAGAGCAGCTGCTGTTCGTCCAAGACACAACGTCACACTTTGTCCGCTGACTCCCGACTTACGACAACGTTTCCCGCCGACGTCACAGGCTGTTTGCAGACATTCGACCCTTGGCGATCGACAAAAGGTGAGCGAGCGTCCAGCTGGAAAGCCGAAAAGGGATCAGTCGAGACGTTATTCTCACGAGAGACTTTATACTCGTTCGCGTTTAACGGTCAAGCGAGTGCTCAATTTTTGTACAGTTGATTGAAAACCCCAGATAGATCGATCAAAAGCGACGTTAAACGTTATTAGCGGTCTGTTTAGCTCGTCCAAAGAAAAGCCATGCGTTTTCAGAACGAAGATAATTAACTTATGTTGGAGTATATTATAATTTGCCGACTTGGAAGTTTAGTAAATTTTCTTGCGTAAAGGCGAGAGAGTTGGTAATCTGAGATGGTGTGTTTTGCGTTCATGTAGGTAGGTATAGGTAGGTATGCACATTAGACAGGTATGCACGCACAAGAAAATTTTTCGGTTCAACATGAGAATTATTCCGAGCGTTATTATTTTCTTCTGTAACATGTGGAGAAACACTGTTATATTATATCTAGACACACAAGAGAGAGAGAGATATATATTCTCGAGAGAGATCACGTTAAATTTGGAAGCCTCGTGCTCCGAAGCTCATGAATGTCACGAGCTAATCGATGCCAAAGTTCAACAACGAAACGAATAGTCATTTATGACGAATGAATTTCCCGGCCGTCATTGACGGGAATCAAGTATCAAATTAAGCGGAGGCCTGGTGAGACGCTTCATTATTTGCTCGTTAAATTTGGCACTTAGAAGGCTTGTCCGATAAATTACTAAGCGCCAGCGGAGAGCGTCGCGCTTGAAAATGAATTTATCAGCGCAAACACACCCACCCACACACACACACACATACATACAGTTTGGATACTGCACGCGGGATAGAGAGTAATCGTCGCTTAGTTAAGAACTTGTTGGGGTTTTAATTGTCGAAATATCCGATCGGACAGTCGCTGAGATTGGCGTGATGTAATTTTTGTCGAAACGCGAGCGAGACAGTTAATCGAGTTTATTAAGGACGACCGTAGTCGTCGGTTGGATATCGATTCGACTAATTAACATGGGCAGCGCGTTTCATTCGGTCTTGAGATGACGAGCATACGTACGTTTCTATACTCGTTAGTGTGTAAATTGTGTACATTTATTATCAACTGTACAACAACAGATGTGTAGACACACGTATAGAAAATATTTACACCAAGTGTATTTATATTTTACCGCCTGTGTAATATTTTACACAATATATATATATATATATACATGTATATTCCAATTTAATTCTCTCGTTTTTATTTCTTCATCGTAAATAAAGTGCGCAAAAAGATCTTATGTAACTGCTAACTCACTCTACGTCAACTTATATAATCAAACTTATATAAGTCTTTGGAAAAACGTTTCTGTGATTTCCACTGAAAAAAAAAAAAAAAAAAAAAAACAACCACCGAGCTTTCCTCGAAAGAAGAAGTTCCTCGCAAGTTCATTATAAAAATGATTACAGGTGATAAAAATTAGTTTTCGTTAAAAAGTTAATAGCGTGTTAGCTACGGCGATGGAGAATCGGGAAAGCATAAAACGCGTCGTCGATCAAATTTTTCTTTCTGTCTGGAAATGAATTTGCGACTAACGAGAGAGAGAGAGAGAGCGCGCGTTTTTAAGCGGAGGCGGTGTGTAGCACGTTCGAGGAGCTCGCACGAGGGATGTTCCGAATGTGTTTGCGGTGCTCGCGGTAGCAGAAAGCGAGGTTAAGGAGGCGGCGCTTTTTTTTTCTCTTTCTCTTCCACGATTACTCTCGCCGTACCCATTCGTGGTAATCGATACCCGATCGTCGAGAACGGTAACTCACCTCGTCCGATTGTTCGCAAATGAGAGAGCCGTGTTACCTTTAATTTTAAATTTGTAAAAGAGGACGTTTGTGAAAACTATTATGAAGATACTTAAAGAACACGAAGTTTTCAATGATTCGATGAATTATTTACATCACACAGATTTACTTCGCAATTTTCTGCGCTTGAGTTACGAGGTGTGTGTTCGCGCGACCGGTTTTATTATAATTTATCAATTTATTAATTCGTTAATTTCTCTATAAAATAAAATTTTCTAAAATATTATATCAAAGTTCTTTTTTTGAGAAAACAAAGTTAGCGAGTCTGATGAATTATTGACAAAAATGTTGCAAATGACGCTCGCAGTCGAGCGTCACTTCCGTTAACGCCAGTTCGATGCTGCGTTTTTAATCGATATCGTTGTATCGCTACCGCATCGCTGGAGTCATTCCAAAGGGACATCGGTCCCTGAACACACGGGAGGAGTCTCCATTACGTAAAATGGATAAAACGGGAATAATGGGGGCACGCGAACGTCGCAAATAATTTACTGTGCGCTTGTTTATCTGTTGCTACTGTAAATTGGACGTACGTTTCGTCGCGAATAGTACAAGGCCTGGTTGTTAACGTGTCATCATCACGAGATCTCGTATCTCGCGATGTAAGGGAGAAACGCGAGAGTGAGACAGAAGCGAGAGGCGAGAGAGAGAGAGGAAATAGGTGTGTTTTACAGAATAAAGCTGTTTTTCTTTTCGTCATTTAGGTTTTTTTCACACATGTTGGAATTTGTAAATAAATAATAAATCGCGTTTCAATTTCGATCAATTAGTATCTTCGAAATGTGTATAAATCTTTTTTTGAATTAAGAAACAGAGACGTAGATATATTTAAGGATTCAAGAAAGTAATGAGAAAAACAATAGTAATTGCAATCGAGCTTTTGTCAAGACCATGTATCTCAAATTTGCATTGTTGAAGTACTTCCGCCGTAAAATATAAGCTATTATTAAACGGCAAATGAAAATTTCGTTTTTTTTTTCAAGTTGAAATAAAAATGACGGAAATCGAGATAAAGAGCTCCCGATGAGCGCACATCCCGGAGAGCTTTCGATTCTGTTCAATTACTACGATTGTTGCGACATTACGCTTTCCGCGCTTAAAAAGAATTTGTCTCGCTCTACGAGTCTTACGTTTCCCTCAATGACGAAAGAATCGATACGCGTTTCTCGCTCACGCAATCGAACCTGTGGTCCTCCTGCAAATTTCTCGTTTAACGAGAAAGAGTTAACGAGTTTTCTGCACAACAACGTTATCTCGTGCTCTCGTTCTCATCGACAGTTCCGTGATATCCAGAAAATTGATAAATTATCTCGAATCTTTAAATTTATTTTAACGTTACTTATTCTGTAAGTTGTAAATGGTCTGGTTTACCGGAAGAAAGAGAGAAAGAGAGAGAGAGAGAAGGGAGCGAATGTAATTTTCCCATCCAAGTACGCGTTGCAAAGCAAAGTTGCGACGCGAGTTCCTCTCTCGCGAAGACAGGTCGCGACTTCCACCGTCGCGGTTAACTGTCTTTCGTCATTACTAGTTTCTAAGGAACGACAGCTTTCCGTGCATTCAGCATAGCTCGCTTTCTGTTCCAGTTTATACGAGTTTCGGTTCGTGAAATGTCTTGACGTATTATAAATCATATCTCAAGACGTCTTCGAAACGTCTTTACAAGAAACTTTTCATCATTTGGTTGTGCGTTAATGATTTAGAAATTAATTAGTTAATTTATTGATTGATGGATGCGTATGTACGAAAAATATGTATGTGTGTGTGTGTGTGTGTTTGTAGAATTTATTGGAAAATTATTTATTGGAAAGTTAAATTACCTGAATATTTAGCTGTAGTAATTAAACATTTTGTTGTTTGGATTTGCAAATTTAATTTAATATTTGAGAAAATATCACAAAATTGCCCGGAATAAAGCGGCGAGTTAAAGATTCGCAATAAAGTGTTGAATGTGAATTATTACGCGCTATACGCTCTCGTTTGAATTTTCTGAAACTATCGTGTATAAATATTATTCATATCGAGCGAGGTAAATCGATCTACACTGCGAACACAAACGGTTGTTGCTTCGCGCGATTACAATTTGCATAAATATGCATTTACGCAGATAGTTTTTAAAATCGCATTAACCGTGTAAACTGCGCGCTGCTTATTTGTATACCCGATGCTGGAAAAATATGTTAAGCGCGAGATAAAATTGCGCTACTTCGTTAATGGTTGCTTGTTAATTAGATGAGGATCATATCAAAGAATTTTATAAGAAAAAGTCTTTTTTTTCACACAGACAAATAAAGGAAGATGACCGTCTATGGACAATTATATATATATTCCCTCTTTTCAAAAAAATTTAACTTTATCTCTTTTATTATATAATCTCTTTAATTAAAGTTTATTAATCTCTTTGTTTTATTCTTGTTATACTTTGATATAGTGCGTATTTCCAATCGATTCACTCGACTGAAAGAGACCCGGCCTGGAAAAATCCGAAGGTGTATAAGATTTCGAAACCCGGGACCTTTCCCTCTCGCAGCTCCCGCAACTCAGACCGCGCGAGACCACTGAACCAATCCGGAATATAGATTTACTACGGGCGGTCTTTTGTCTTCCCAGATGTGTCGGATGTACATTATTATTCTTCTAAGCCGTGGTTATTTGTATCAAGTCAGAAGAAATGGTTTTCGTCATTTCTTACACCTGCGAATGCGCTCTCGAGGTTGGTTGCGCTCTATATATAACAACAGTCCGCAGCTGTATCCTTCACGACGCCGCGGTTGTCGGACGCAAAAACAAATTTTTTTTTTTCACAACATTGTCGGTTGTTTCGGGAAACAAGATTGATAACTCTTTTTTTCCGCAGATATTTGACGTAACGCGTGACGATTTATCAAGAGAATTCTATTGTACGGTGTTTATCGTTCCGCGCGTTCCTTTTTTTGTCGGAAAACTTCCGATATCAATTGAGTCCGTTCGAGAATGATTAATCATCATTCTCCCGCTGCAGAAATAAATGGTCGCATCATTCCGGTGAAGAAATTTCGTTAAATCATCATTCGCGAGATCTCGCGTTTACGTTGTTTCGCGCTCGAAATGTTCGCGAGTCGCGAAATATGTTGCGGGTTGCGCACAGCTCTAGCAACTTCTCTGGTAAATGTGCGCAGTTTGACTAATGAAGTATT